GTATCATCTGTTTATTCTGTTGTATCTGGTTAGTTTTTGTTTTTTAAACCCTGGCCTAAAATTAACAGGTCTTAAACCCAGAGTTAGTTTTTCCATTCATTTCATAGACGACTTTTATTTCTTTCCTGCTTCTTTGTTCCTCCCAGCCTACAGCCACAGTGGGGTTTCCTTCCTGGCTTGGATAAGTAGTACTCTTATCACGCTTCTTATACTTGAAAGTGCTTCTCTTTCAAAAAATAAAGTAAATTAAAATTAAGGAAGAAAACTGGGAAGACCCAATCAAGCTGGAGCTGTAAATCCCAGAGTGAGCATAATGATAAGAGACCAGAGGTAAAACAAAATAAAGGAAGATTTTCCAAACCTAACTTCTTTGCCTCTAGTTACCTTGTTGCTCCTTTCAGAAGAAATAAACCTGAAAGGAGATCTTACCTTCCTATTTAATACTGCTCTTCTATTCCTAACCAAATTGTTTTCAATTTCATTTTCCTTCAAGAACATTTAAAAGAATTTGTGCTAGTATTTTGATAGCAGATCTAGATCTAGGAAGCATTTACAGCCACAGATCTCTCCTCTTCCTGCGCATGGCACCCAGGACACTTGCCCAGAGGAAAAGTTGGGGCGGGCGAGGGAGCACAAGGCAGGAATGTAACTGCAGCTTCTCACCTTGGCCCTGACCGGAGTTCCCCTCAACTCTGCAGCCTACACTTCTGAAAGGCTGGCTTAGCTGGCTGAGACTGCTAATGCAGACACACTAACCGCTGAAAGACATCCTGCTTCCTGGGATGGTTTCATGGGGGGAGGGATATGAGGAGAAGTAAAAAGGAATTGAGAAATAATGAATTCCATAGTATGCCTTAGGAAGCTTAAGTTAGAATTTGCTCTCAGTCAAAATCTAATTAATTCTAGGTCAGTCATAAATGGTAATCAAATCGCAGGATAAATCTATACCCAAAAAGAATACTTTAATTCGTAGCTAGAGATAACAGTCATGGGAATGGGGAAATTCTCCTAAAAGCCACAGTAGATATTATACCACTAGATAAAATAACCCCCACTGTGGTAAAAAATCTGAAGCAGAATTTGGAAAAGATTTCTTCTGCTGCCAAAATTTTGTTTTGGTATTAATATGTTGCTCTCCGAACCTGGTGGTACTTCTCGGGGTGCGGGGTGTAGCAAAAGTACTCTTCCCTAAGGAATGTGCTTTCCTCAAAAATTTCTGCAAAGGAAAAAGACTACATGTGCTGGTGCACCTGCATTTGTATCCAGGAGAAAAATAACTCCCTACAGCTAGGTGCTAAATAGGCCCTTGGCCCTGCAAACCACATTTTAAACCACATTTTAAAATCAAAGTTCACAAAGAAGTAGATCTACATGACTTGGTAGCAAATATTTAGAGATTCCTGATAGTCTGACTATTTCTTACATATGTAGACCCACCATCCAAAAAAAGCTTAGCTGACTTTATGTGGAGTGAGCTACTTCTCTCCAAGATTATCAGACATGCTTCTAAATATGCATGGCATGTTACAAATACATTATAAAACGGTGCCGAATAAAGGTATAACACACAGCAAGTCTCAACCAAAGGTTTTCACTAACTTTACATGTACTACGTAGAATAGGTCTACTCACACACTCATATTCCTAGTGGGAAATAAAGCCCGTTCTTTTCTTGCCCCCAGCCCCATCTGATTAGCGATTGGTTTCTTTATTTTTAAGGCATGGAATTACATGGCCAAATGAATTGAAAGAGGAAAACAAGAGTTGTGTAAATGAACGTACAAGATATATGCCATGATTGGCTGGAAACGGACTCTTAGTCCCTGACAGCTCCAACCCCTAAAGTCATGACTCTGACCTCTCCTTGCAAATCACTTGTTTCCAAATTTAAGAGCTACTGCTATCCCCGAACAATTGGGGAGAGTAAGAAAGCACCAGGTCGGATCTGTTCAGTTGAAATCCTTTGCCCTTTTTTATGCCCCCTAAGCTTGTGTCCTACTGCTCCTGCTGCCTTCCTGTCCTCCTCACCCCTTCGCCTTCCAGAGTAGTTGTGGGTTTTTCTGACTCTTTGTAAACCATGAATTTTGGTTATCTCAAAAATCAGAAGAGCACAAGATATGGAAGAAATTGCCTCTTGAACAAGAGCCACAAAACACAATGTCTTATCACAGGGTAGATGCTGGGACAGTAGCCACTGAAAAAATGTTGTATCTAATATTAACAGAGACTTTGGCTCTAGTCCTGAGGGAAACAGAGTAAAAAAACTGGAAACAGAACAATTCAGATCTTGGCATGTACTCACTTCTAGAGCTCACCTCCAAGTTATTTGTTCCTACCTAAGGGAGATGTGACCAAAAAAAAAAAAAAAAGGAAAAGGAAAAAAGGAAACAAAAACCCT